CCCCCCCCCATTATAGCACAGCCTCATTTATAGCACTGGTGACCTGTGGACCCATGCTAATCACGTAGCTTCTGGCTCTGACTAGCCAGCTTCCTCTGATAAAGAATGGCCAACTTCCAGGTCATTGTAGACATTACTGCACATGCACATGCTCAGGAAATGCCACTGATGTCACTCTGTGAAGGAATATTTAATAATCCATCAGTTTTTTTCTTCAAAAGCAGTGGATTTAGTGTCTTTATTTAAAAAAATGCTGCATGAACAATCAGTGTGTCAGAGTTATCGTGAGATGCAAGCTTGGGAGGAGGATTAATTGGGTTTTTCTTAAAGGGGAGTCATAAAGCAGAAACATTACATGAAAAGTAATGATGTATCAGCATGTTAAAGTGGGCGACTGATGTACTAAATACCATGTGACTTCCCTTTGCACCTTATTGCTTTGCAAAGGCCACCTCTATTACAGCTGCACTATATCAATTTCTCAGTGAAAAACAACTAAGCTTGGTGAGGCTTACAAGTGTTAGTCTCAGATTCTATGATTTCAGAGCGAATGTAAACGTGAGTCTGTGAGTAAAGTAAACCCTCAGTCCCACACTGCTGATAAATCACACATAAGGACTCACAAATGACTGTTTAATATTGCAGCAATATATCATAGTCAGTAGACCATAGCACAGTCATGACTCTTACTTTGTGCATCTCTTTTATCATCTATTTACATCTGTAAGAAATGGTTAAGAACTGTATGGAATATTGTTGAAAATGAATATTAAGAGCTGACCTGGGATCAAGGACATCTGTGAGTTCAGTACCTTCAAATGTGTTATAGAGGCTGTATCAAGTATCAAGCTTTCTGGGTTTCTTAATAATGTTTTGCCAAAGTTCTAGGTAATCAACATGCTTTTTGGTTGAACATTTTTGTTTCTAATGTTGTTCGGCCTATTTTTGTTCTACCTAAAAATCCTACTTTTAAAGAGGATAACGGGATATAAACAGGATAACCACAAAGACCTGTTACCCCAATTGTTTTATCTACAGTGCACTAACCAACAACTGAAACATGTGGAATAATAAAAATAATTGTATTTAGAAGTACTTATTATATTCAGTATAAGTGTTTAACTTTATTTAGACGTACAGATGTCCAGAGGATCATTGTGAGTGCCATCATTTTCATGGCAGCTAATGATGTATCGCCATGTTCAGTGCGACATCTTCCATAACACAATTGAATGACAACGCAAAATGTATCTCTTACAGTTTGTTTCAGCTCCTCCGTAGTCTTACATCGCTGTTTTGTAACAGGGATACAAGAGGACTTTGTGGACACCCTGTACAATAATGGTTAACAGTCTAAAAGGAAATATTAAATAGATTGGAATAAATTATACAAGAAAATGTAGTTTGAACTTCTAACGTTTCACAAAAGAATTATGGATTTTTAAAGTTAATAATATGACCCAATAAAATATTTTCCAGAGATACAGAATATTTTATGATGATAATAATAATCCGTATATGTGATATATATAGTGACTTTCACATCGCAAAGAACTTCACAGGATATATTCTAAAGTGTAGTGACTGTGTATCTTGTAGGAGAATGTGGCAGTCAATTTGTTCACCGCAATGTCCCCCACACAACAACAACTTGCCCTTCATGCAGAATTGCATGTTAGAATTCTGTACAGTGGTAGGGTTGGATGCTGAGCAAGGGTTAAGATGGAGGAGTAGATGATTTTTACAAAGTCTGATGTTGTGATAATAATAATAATAATCCTTGCATTTGATATAGCGCTTTTCACGTCGGGAGGACGTCCCAAAGCGCTTCACAGAACACACTGTAAAGTGAATTGACTGTATATTTGTGGGCGAACGCGGCAGCCAATTGCGCACAGCAATGTCCCACAAACAGTCGTAGATTGAAAATGACCAATTTTTATTGTTTTATTTTGGAGGGATTATTATTAGGCGTGTGGAGTAAGGAAACTTGCCCAAGGTTTCGCCCTGCCGGGAATTGAACTCAGGTCTCTCGCTTGCAAAGCGAGTGCTCTAACCACTGAGCTACAGGACTCCACAATGGGAGGACAGTAGGGGTGGGCATTCTGGAGGGATGAGATCAAAATGAGCTGGAGGTTCATCCAAACCAATCTTGTAATTTGTGATTTGAATTAAGTACCTAGATTCAACAGTAAATCCCACCCTTAGAATAAGAAAATTTTCTCTCCCAGCTCTCACCATCACATGCAAAGCCCTTGAGAGTTAGTTTGACTCTTGCTAATTAGGGGAAACAAGCTCAATAGAAACAAATGTATTCCTCCACTAGCAGAACTTTTTCCATATACAGATCTCTAAGACTCACAATATATGTATTCTATGTATACGGTGTAAACTGTAACTCAACCAGAACTCTGTATAATACCAGAACTATTGAACCATAAACCTGTATGACACGTGGAAGGATGTTCATCCCATTGTATTAACGTTAGAGTTCGCTCCTTTATGAAACCGTTCATCCCTCCTCTTTCCCGATACTCTCTAATATACTTCCTAAGAAAGTGATTATCCCTGCCACTGTAAAGCGGTCCAAGACATTATTCTATGTGAAGATTGCTGTAGAAATGCATGTTGTTGTTGTTATCCAATTCTCCTTTAAATGCCACTCAATTGATTCTGTTACAACAGCCACTCCTGGCAATTCATTCCATATTTGAATAATAATATAATAATAATCCTTACATTTGATATAGCTCCTTATCACGTCTTTGCGACATCTCAAAGCGCTTTACAGAATATACTGTAAAATGAATTGTCTGTATATTTTATGGGTGATAGCTCTTCAGAAGAAAAAAAATCTTACCTTCTCTTCTCACAGTCCTAGTTGTACATTTAATTAATGCCCTTTTGTTCTCGAATCACCTACCAGTGGAAATAATTTCTTCCCATTTATCACACTTATTATTTTAAACTCCTCTATTATATCAGCTCTCAACCCTCTCAGTCCTACGGAGATACCCTGGGAAGCATGTAAACCTTACTAGAGTATTTTTATTAAAAAGAAAAAAAAGAATTTGACAAAATTATTTGCAGAAGAAGGTTTATTAATGTCATAAAATGTCGTACTACATCATTAAAACAGTGACAAACACAATAGTATCCAATTTTGCACCCAGCAGTATTGGAAGCAAGTCTGTGAAATTCATTACTGTATAATCGGCACCATAAAATGAACTCTATTAAAACTGTTACTACTAATTTAAAATTAGTTTTTTGCAAGAGAAAAATAAAGCCTCCAAACCTCAAGTGTCCTCCTGTATGACAGGTCACTTTGGTTTAATAATTTAGCAACCAACGGCAAGAAATGTTTTCAATTTGCAGGTAACATAAATGCACAATACAAATGGTTTCCATCACTATAGTAACAGCAGCTCCTACCAACTCAGTACGAATAAAGCTCTTTAATGTACTTGGTTCAAGAGGGCATCAAATTGCAAACAGTTTCATTTACCATTCCTAAGAATGTATTTTTCTAACCATTTTAAATGAGGTATCTATGAACTACATCATCAAAACCTACTCTGTTAGAATGAAAATTTGTCTGCACCCCACTGATTAAATTGCACTATTGGAATGCATTATTTAATATTGTTATATCATGTCCAATTGTGACTCTACACCAAAAAGCTATTCTATGTTGGAGAGTTATTGATCCTGTCATCACTTGAAGTTTTGTCCTTCTATAAATCATCATATCTCCATTGAAATTCCTACCAAAATGTAATTTAACTGTCAAATTCCATCATATATCAACCAATACAACTAAAAGATCCTGATCAAAACTGTTACATTCAATAACTTCAGCTCTCTGAAGGCGGTGAAGGGGTTGAAAACAGAAATCACCTTGATGCTGGATAATGGTTTTGGAGGTTATTACAATTAACAACTCAAATATGTTTGCAGGTCTAATCTGCAGGACCGAGTTGTCTATTATCCACAAAATAAAAATCTTAGGTATTTTCCCAGCTTTTCAGGGGAAATTCTCTGTATTGCAAAATGGGAGAAAATCAAAGGGAAAACATTTGAAAGGAAAAAAAACCCGGGTAAATTCAATGATTGAACACCGATGTAAAATACAATCACCAGGTTGTTGCACATACAGTATACAGCAACAGCTTGGATTTATATAACACCCTTCACACAGGATAGCATCTTGGAGAGCCACACAGAAGGAGATTGGAAAACAGGAACAGGGGTTATAATTCCTTAAAAAAAATTGGTCATTTCAATCCACGACTGTTTGTGGGACACTGCTGTGTGTAATTGGTTGCCATGTTTCGCCCATAAAATATACAAAGTCAATTCACTTTACAGTATGTTCTGTGAAGCGCTTTGAGACGTCTCGAAGACATGATAAGGTGCTATATCAAATGCAAGGATTATTATTAGAGGCCATTGACAAATCCAGCCTGTTCCATCAGTTTGTTAGATCTTGGCAGATCCTTTAATCCCAACAGCCCACCCTGCACCTCTACAGACCACACACTATATTTTCTGGGCTGGTAGTGTGGGGGTGGGGGGTAGAGGCAGTTCTGTAGATACTCAACAATAACATCAACTTGCACTTATATAGTGCCCTCCACGCTGGGTGGCATCTCAGAGCGCTTAACAATGGTGGAGCCCAAGACCGAGCCAAGGGGAGGGGGAAGGTGACCATAGGCGCAGTCAAAAAGGCAGGTCTTCAGGCACGACCTGAAGATGGGGAAGGAGGGGGAAAGGCGGAGGGGTTGAGGGAGGGAGTTCCAAAGTTTTGGGGCGTAGTGGCTGAAGGCACAGCCGCCAATGATGGAGACGAGGATTCGGGGGATGCGGAGTAGGCCGGATCCAATAGAGCAGAAGCAGCGGGTACTGCTGTGGGGAGAGAGGAGGTTAGAGAGAAACGGGAGTGCCAAGGAATGGAGGGATTTAAACACTAGAGTGAGGACTTTGAAGTCGATCCCCTCTGTGACAGGGAGCCAGTGGAGTTTGGCAAGGACTAGAGTAATCAGGATACAATTTTGGTGTGGGTGAGAATGCAGACGACGGCGGTTTGAACAATCCTCAAAGATAATGGAACAATACCTCCAGGATATGATTCCAATTCCAATTTCTCGCATTTAGCTCTAGGCCACTTCCTCCCCTAGGGACTTTATTTCCCATCCCCACGCACCCCACTTCCTCCAACAATTTATTATGTTCCATAAAGTATTTATTCATCTGAATATGCATAATCAATGAACCAAAAACTGTTCAGAAAAACTACTCAGTTACTCTTTGAAAGAATTAATTGGCACTTCAAGAGCTTTCATTGGGAATCTTTGGGAATTTATTCCACATATTCACTGGTTGCATGTGTGGGGAAAGCAGTGAAAACACCCTTCTAATTTTTGGTTTTGCTTGAATATTTTAATCTTTTCACCTACGTCCTCTACTTAATAATAATCCTTGCATTTGATATTGCACTTTATCACGTCTTTGAGATGTCTCAAAGTGCTTCACAGAATATACTGTAAAGTGAATTAATTGTATATTTTGTGAGCGAAACTTCTGTGCTCACAAACAAATTCCTCTTTTTGAATTTCTCCTCACAACTTTGAACCTTAGAATCATTCCTGTGTCTCTTCTCTAACACCCTCTACAATGTTTCAATGACATTTTATCTTTTCCTTTTTGGAGTTGGCGACCTCCATTTCTGAAGCCAACCATTCATTCTGGGTTTATGGCTCTACGGCACTCTGAGAAATCTCTGATTTCTTGCTCCAATGGAATTGTAATGATGCTCATTATTGACCATTCACTCATTTGTCTTCTTGCCTGGAAGCAAAGTCATAGACAATAGTGGACCTTTCATATAGGTCAGTCATTGCTAAGAGGAAGTATTCTGTCGTCTCACATCACTCACAGTAATGAAAACTGGAAATGACACTGCACTCACTATATCTTTATTTACAATGCACCACACAGTTCGTTCCTTTAAAACACAATAGCCCAAAGCATTTTAAAGAACACTGATCATCATTACTGCCTCATGACACTAAACGGTATCATGATCTGTTTGGGTACAAACATAAAGAGCACAGATACTGTATGCATGAAACAGCGGTGGCTATAATATTTACTCACATGTGAGGCTTAGCGTGTAATTTTGGAAGTAAGCACAGTTAGACAGTTAACTTGGCAGAAAGTGAACTCTTGAAAATGCTCAAATTAAATAGCATCTGTGGGTGCCCTAAACATAGAGAAGAAAATGTTATGTTTTTTTATTAAAAAATCTAATTTCCAAGAAGAATGTGCTCCTATAGATCCCATTCTGCTGGCTGTGTGGTTCAGTATATGGCTCAATGGAAAATGTGAGGGACATGTTGAAAATATTATTATAAATTGTTCTTTCACAAGAAACTCTTCACACTGCTTATTGAAGGGGGAGGAAAGAGTTATTGCTTTTTTCACCAGTTCAAGTTCATGGTGAAAGCAGGTTTGAAACCTGATCAGAACACCGAGTTCAACACTGATGACCTTTCTGTACTTGCTGGTGAAAGATCCTGCAAACACATAAAATGGGCATTGGGGTTTTCACATGTTATTTAACAGACATAGTGACATGAAATTCACCTTTAACTTGTAACCAAGATTTTGCATTATTTTCAACTTGCATTTTCAAGATGCATTTCTGTCACCTACCAATCCCTGGTATCTTCTTATCGCTCGAATCGTCTACCCGTTTCCTCCACTTTCCCCCACCGCACAGCTGAATGGAGCTCCCTGATTGTTCCCCGCCCTCTCTGCGCCACCATCTGGTATTATAGAAATGCAAGTTGTTATTGTTGTTTATGTTGTTTAGGCATTTTATAAATGCAAGTTATTATTGTTTATATTATATAGTATCCCTCAATTAGGATACTATCTCAGAGTGCTTCACAATGACAAAGTCAGATGCCAAGCAAGCGAAAGGGGTGAGGGGAAGATGAAAGTGGGCAAGTTTCCTTACTCGATACGCCTCTGTTTGCCTAGCAGTAGTATCAACCCAATTGTTAGTCGATTGGAGTATTGCTTTTCTGGGGGAAATAATCCCTTCAAAAATAAATAAATCAATAATATTTGGTCACTTGATCCACAACTGTTTGTGGTACACTGCTGTTTGCAATTGGCTGCCGCATTCCACCCACAAAATATACAGTCAATTTACTTTACAGTATATTCTGAGAAGTGCTTTGAGACATCTCGAGATGTGATAAAGCGCTGTATCAAATGCAAGGATTAGTATTATTATAAATGCAGTCAAAGAGGTAGATTTTTAGATAGAATTTGAGACATAAAGAGGGGATAAAGTAGAGGGTGAGAAGGAGGAAGTTCCAGTGCTTACGGGCATATAAAATTTTAATGTGTGCACTTCAAATCATAAGCGCAATAAGATTGTCAGTAGGGAATTTATATTTTTATTTTAAATTATTGATACTGATCATGTATGAAAATTATTCTTAGCAAAATTCCAACCAGGATCAAACCTGTAATTACTGAGATATCCATTATGAAAATTAAAGATACATTCATTGTTGATGTACTGAAAGCTGTGAGGTAATAACCCTAGGCAATTTCACTTCACTTTCTATAGTTTCAGAATTATCTGCTCTTTCTGCACTCAGGACAGTTTAGGAGTGAGCAGATAAGAAATCAAGTAATGAGAAAAGGCCACTTTGACCAACTAAGGCCACACCCTTTGTAGATTAGGCAGTACAACAATAGGAAAAGGCTTTATACAATTCATAGCAGAGCCAGCATGAAAATTTACAGAAGTGTTCAGCAATGAAAGGATGTGTGTGAGACAATAATACTGATTGGTAAGTCTCAGACATGAATAATGGTCACTTCAGGAGTTACCACTAGTGGTTAACCACTGGTGGAAGAGAATAAAGATAGTCAAACAGATTTAGAAGAGAAAATTGGAAGAGCAAAATTGTCCAAAAAACTGAAACAAATTTCCTGAAGAATTGCTGTGAAGAATGTCGTTGGATAAGCACTCTAATGGGAAAACCGAAATGTAATAGCGGGAGCATCAAGTAAGAGCCAAGTCCAAGTATGCCTCATGAAGGGAATCCCACATGTGTCTCAGTGAACTGCTGGAGCTCAGCTGTGAGGTGATCTTGGGTTAGAGCAAACTTCTCATGGGTTCAGTGTGATATACATAGAGTTCCAAGTCAGACAAATGTTTTCTGCACTTGTGCTATTTATCCTACATTCTTTTCTTTCAAGCGCTTTTTTAGCTCCATTGTTTCCATCAAATGATTCTTCAAGTAATAATTGTCACAAATGTATGTCTGACTTCAGCTTATCTGAGCCTTTCATAGATATGTCACTCCTAAGCCAACCACTTATTTTCAGTTCCAATCAAATTGGCATCTTCATAAGCCTATATGAAATACTCTTGATTCCCACAAGCACAGCAAGATATCATGGGATAGCACAGAAAGTTTGCTCTCAGTTTGATCTATGAGCAGAAAAGTTTCATTGAAACAGAGAAGGTTGAGGGGACACCTGTTAGAGGGCTTTATAATTATGAAGGATTTTGAAAAAGTAGATGGGGAGAAATTATTTGCAAAATATCAAAGGGGGAGATAAGCAGAAGGTGTTTTTTGCATAGAGAATTGTTAGGAATTTGAATGTCCTGTGGGGAGCAGTGGTCAAAGCAGGATCCATATTAGCTTTCGAGGGAGAACTAGACAGAGATTTAGAAAGAAATAATTTGGAGAGCATTGGAGAGAAAGCAGGTAAATGGGAATGAGTGATTCGCTCTTTCAAAAGCCTGATAGAAGTCTTTAAAATGCTGAAAGGTTTTGATAGGGTAGACATAAGGAAGATGTTTCCACTTGTGGGGGAGACCAAATCAGGGGCCATCAATATAAAATAGTCACAAATAGATCAAATAGGGAAGTTAGAAGACATTTCTTTACATAGAGAGTAGTGGGAATGTGGAACATGCTACCACAAGGGGTTGTTGAGGCAAATAGCATAGATGTATTTAAGGGGAAGCTAGATAGGTACATGAGGGAGAAAGGAATAGAAGGTTATGCTTGAAGGCTTAGTTGAGTAAGGCCAGGAGGAGGCTCATGTGGAGCATAAACACCGGCACAGACCAGTTGAGCCGAATGGCCTGTTTCTGTGCTATATAGTTTAATGTATTCTAATTACTTCAAATTGTGAGAGTAGACAGAATGAATCAAAAGATAGCAAAATAATAAAATAATCCTTCACAGAAAGTTTGCCCAATTCCAATGGTTTTCACAATGGTACAGATCAAAGTATTTAAACACAGAAGCTGATTATGTAGTCTTACTCTACTTTAAAATTCAGACTTGTTTTTCTTATCTGTTTTCTTTTCTTCTCTTTTATCTCCTGGTGAGTTTTGAGATTATTAGACTTTGTCTCCTTACACTGACATGCCTGAATATGCAACCAGGCAAAGAGCTTTCTATAATCAACTAACATTGACTTGAGGACAGAATATTGAGTCCTGTAGCTTAATGGTTAAAGCACTGATTCCTGGGCAAGGCGAAATGTTGGGCAAGTTTCCTTATACCACATGCCTCCATTCACCTAGCAGTAAGTAGTAACCCGGTTGTTAGTTGATTAGCAGATCACTTTTCCGGGGATAATAATCCCTTTAAAATCCATGACTGTTTTTGAGACACTGCTGTGGGCAATTGGCTGCCTCGTTTAACCCACAAAATACACCGTCAATTCACTTTACAGTATTTTCTGTGAAGCGCTTTGAGACATCTTGAAGATGTGATAAGGCACTATCTCAAATGCAAAGATTATTATTATAATATTGACAAGTCCAAAGGAGATGTATTTACTCTACAGGCTTCAGTGTCCAAAATGGTGTAGTTATCCCAAATTCTCCAGTCAAAATTGCATTACGGTAGGCTCGGGTTTGAAACTGTTACAAGTACACTCTTCCTTATAACAAGCACAATCCTAGAGATGAAACGTCAGTATTCAGATCGTGCCAGCTTGTCCTTAGATTCAACTCTTCACTCTGCAGATTGAATTAGTACTATGGGGGAAAGGCAGATGAGCTCTGCTTCAGTGGATGTTCTGTTCTGAGATTAAACACATTTGCATTTAGAGTGATTCATTTTTAGATTTTGGGGAGAGGAAGGTGCCCTCAAGGTGAAATCTGAGATTCCATCCCATGGCTGCTTTGGCTGTCTTCTACTAAGCTCTATTCAGACTGATTGAAACAAAGTTAACTGTTTAAAATAATTATTAAATCCATTAGACTACACACATGCAAACTAAACAGCATTATCAAATTCAGCTCAAAGGTTATAGTTAACCCTGAAATTCCACATTGTCTGACTGCAAGACAATATTGCCTTAAAATTTAAGATAGTTTTGTATTGTATAAAATTCTTAAATTCAGTCTTAATTAAGTAGCTGCTTGTATTTGAGAATCGTGAAAATCAGCATCCAAATTAAGACTGAATTTAAGAATTTCCCATTAATGTTCTATGGTAGTCTCTATAGTCTGAGGTCTTCTTGGGGCAAAGCTGACTCCAACATGACATAATTGGCAACAGAATGTCACAATTGAATCAATGCTCTGTGCCATTCTGAATTGTCTTGTTAGTGAGCCAATACTCTAAGACACTGACGTTGACAAACCAGCCAGCCGAGCTCATCAGAATGAATTGGACGACACTAGGAGCAATGATTTTTCCCCACTCTACACCTGTTAATGTTGCAAACCAAAGCCCTAATTGGTAGGATTATGGGTTCCTTTGCAGAGTGTGCGTTCCAGGGAAAAGTTACATGTGTAGGTGGCATACATATGTGTAACTTTTAGTCTGGTTTGAATACTCTTAAGTGCGGTAATGTGTTTAGACATTCATGAGATATCCAGCTGAATTTAAGAGTAAATGATCTCACTTAGTGAAATTTCACGATTAGAATGAGCAAGAGTCAAAAGTAACTTAACATCCTATAAATAACCTCACACACATTGCTACTTAAATTAACTATGACCTTGTGCGCAGCAAAGATTTTTTTGTGTGTGCAGGTTAATTAGTAAATTCTGTCTGTGTTCAAGAGAGCAATACGTTTAACTTAATTTGCCAAGATACATTTAATTTTGCAAGATAAGGAGAAAATGTTAGTGGAAAGTACTTGGAAATTAGATCCAATTTTAAAATGACTACACATCAAGCTGTTCCCATGTAGAGCAATGCAGAACATGTCCACATCTACCTCTGATTAGAATACGATATCAATGACCTTACTCCTAGATTGTTAACATTGACCTCAATACTGTATTGTCAACACTTATAGCAATTACAGCTCTTCCACATTATCAGTGAAATACTGAATCCCGTTAAATGAGTCATGTGAGCTGACTAAAACACCAATTAATAGGGGGCAGATGCCATTTGAACAAGCAGACTGTTAATTGACCAAAATTTTGCGCAGAACAGTAATTATGTAAATTAAGATGGTTGACATAATTTGGGGAATTAAGGGGAAAACAAGTATTAACTGTAACTTAACATTTTTATCCTCTTTGTTGGAGATATGGTAGCTCTGCCCAAACCCACTTAAAAGGCATATGTTTTGCACTAGGCTAGAGTGGATTGTCTATCACTTAGAAACTGTGCATGTTTATTCAGCTACAGTAAGAATGCATATATACAATGCTTTGGAACCCCATAAACTAGACATTGTGTTGCTAGTGAACTCAAACGAAATGCATAGAAAAAAATCCTTTCAAGAAATATGACCTTGGAGAATAAACAGGTAGGCTCAATTAAACTTATATTAAACTAAAAAATAAATTTATATACAATATTTACATCCCTAATAATGTGCCCTCAATCACATCTTCTTAAATAGTGATTGCTCTTTTGTGTTCACTTCAATCTCACTCAGTGCATCTCATACCTGTATGAGAAGGAAAGAGAGCAGTATCCCTGATGGTTTGTGTCCAAAAGATAGAGGGAGAAACAGTGTCCTCACCCTCTCATACTTCCATTCACCCCAGTAGCATGAGACACCACCTTATGATGGCCTACTGTGCAACCACTTATCCCACCCTCTTTCACCCTCACCTCTGCTGTGGTTAGTTCTCTGCCAACAGCCGATCCATCATCTACCTTACCTCCAAGATATTTGCTCTGATTGGCACTGTATAGTTATACTGCTTTCTGCAGTGTTGACTGTAATGAGGGGCCGTGGCCTTTGGGGAGAGGAGGATGTCAGCCAGTCATTATTCCCTATGTCTCCCTCTCATCTTATCCATCCTCTTCATCATGATCATCTTCCTCCTTCTCCCGTAGAACCAGTTGGATAAAAACCTTCTCAAGGATGTCTCCGTTGCTCATGTCCAGATGAAGCCTCCTCACAAACCAATAATGGCTGAGTCCGTAAAATAGAAATTAGAAGCACATTGGCAAGATACTTTAACAATCCAGAGGTTCCTTATTGAAAGTCTTGGGACTTGGAACTCACTTGGAAGTCTACTCTAAGCTAACACTGAAATCCAGTGCTGGGTGTGCTGCATTGTTGAAGATGCCATCCTTCAAATGAGATATTAAACTGAGTTCAGGTGGATGTTAAAGATCACACGGTACTATTTGAAAAAATAATGGAGTTTCTCCTGGTGTCTCCTGGTGCCTGGCCAACAATCCCCCAATTAAAATTGATCATTCACTTCACGGCTATTTGTGGGACATTGCTTTGCACAAATTGGCTGCTGCATTTGCCACAATACACACAGTCGCTGCACTTTACAGTATATCCTATGATGACTGTTGGGACGTCCTCTTGACGTAAAAGGGGCCAATCCAAATGCAAGTGTCATTATTATCATAAGTGAGGCATAACCTAAAGCCAAATTCTCATTAGTAAGACAATTCCTAGCCTGACAAAGGACCAGAATCCCCAAATCTCCTCCTCTTTCTCTTTGGGTCTTCTTCATTGTGATGGCCCCTATTGTGGAGGCCACAGGCATGATTTGGGTGTGTTAGAACATGATGCCTTAAACAATGTCATATTCTGTTCATCTTACCTCTGTATTTACCTTCAGCTCATGAAGCGCCATCCCGATCTTCAGGCAGGATAACCTGGAGCCACTGGCAACATTGACTAATCAGTTATTTCCAACCAAGCATTCCTTCTTTGCCAGAACCTGACAATGTTGCCAGTGGCCCCAAAGTGATTTCCCTCTGAATATCTTCACAACTACTGCCAGGGTTTGTTGTCCCACAGAGCTCAGCATCCTCCTCCTCCTCCACTTAACAATGTTGACTGTGCTACCAATTCTCATTACATCTAGTGTATATATTCTGTCCAGGTGGCAATTATCACCTCACTGTGCTTGTTGAACCAGGATCAAGGCCTTTTTTCTGGAAAACAGAGACCAATAATTTTCATAGATTAATGTTTTTGGCAAAAAAAACTACACGGAATCACCTTTACTCAAGTACCATTTGGCTACTGGAATTTCGACCCATTGGTCTTGCAAAAATATAAATTTGCTCTAAGCCAGTTTTAAATGACAGTATTTTGTTCTCTTTTATTTAACATAATTTAACAACAACAACAAGATTTCATTTATAGAGCGCCTTTCACGTCGGGAGGACGTCCCAAGGCGCTGGACAGTTGGGTCGGGACCCAAGCAGGGGGGAATTGGTCAGGGGGAGGGAAGGGAGGGAGCGAGGAGGGGGTAGAGAGTCGAGAGGGGAGCTGAAGGCATTTAAGCAATGGATGACCTTTAGCTGCTTTGATTGCAGTGTATGATGCATTTGATTTGAAGGTTAAAGAGCATTAATAGCATTATTATAATTTAATTTTTCACAGTACCAGAACATTTTATAAACAGGGTGCACTGGGCCAACTATCTTCCAAATATTCTCAATTATTTCAAGGCTCAGAGAACAGAAGATCACAACCGATTTCAGAATATTAACAACACAGAAGATGGTGGAACATGGAACTCACTGCCAGAAGCCGTGGTTGAAGCAGAAAATAGTATTTGAGAGGTTTACACAAGGGAGAAGGGTATAGAGGGCCATGAGGAGAGGTCAGAGAGGGGGGGATTAGGATGGGTAAAAACCAGCATGAACTAACTGGGCTAAATTCCTTCTTTCGTTGCTACAGATTCTGTGCATTTTTATGTAACATAAGAAAATATTTGATTCATTCAGCCCATACCTTCCACTATCATGTACAACTTAACCTATTATGAACTTAACATCTCAAGAAATATCTCTTTGACTGTACTTTTGTTCATCCGTCTCCTCCCCACCCATCTAGGCTGCCCAGTCAGAAGTTAAGCGCTTTGCGATACCATCCCAATGTAAAAAGCAGTGTATGAATGTAAATTTGTGTTGCAACTTCATCTGTCTCCTACTAAATATTATACTATACATATTCCCTAGAACCCAACGATGCCCAAGCATAAACTTCAGAACATTTGTGAGTGCTGGGTACAGAGAATGAGAGAATGTAACTTGTAAGGTGATCAAACAAGTTGCTTTGTTTTTTTTCCCCAAATAAAACTGTGAAATATTTACCTAAAACAAGTAAAACAGCCTTGATGTAGGAGAAACTGTGAAAAATGTTTTATTTATGAATTGCTCACAAGGTTGTGTTAAGCTAAAGAGGAATTACTCTTTAAGAAGACTTGGAGTTGCCTGAATTAATTTTGAGCAGTCAGACACATGTAAAAGGAAACATAATTTAAAAGGCCTCGCAGAAGCGGGCTTGTACTTTGTTTGAGGCAGATGGTATTATGCTTCAGTAAGGATAAACATTTATATTAACTTCTCTCTGAACTAAGAATAAACAAAATCAGCAGCTGACTTCACTACCACTGAAGTAAAAATTACAATTTGGGATGTGATAATTATCACTGATGTTAATTATCATATTACACATTGCAATTTTCACCCCAGTATATTTCCTCGCTCCTCTCCTCACTGTGTCTGTGCGCTGAGCAACTCCCTAATCGTCCTTGCTGGCTTTAGCCTGCAGCTAATCTCACCATCTCCAACATCCAGTTATTGAAAAAAACAGTTCATTTTCTAAATGTTCAATTTCTTCCATTTTAACGTCCTTTTATACCTTGGAGGCTTGTGTTCAAGTCCAGCACAGGTAAGAGGGCATGAAAATTTTATTTTTCTTGTGATCAGGCTTTTACCTTTTCTGGCTGACTGTTCACCTCTAGGATGTGTGTTGAACCTCATGCCCTTGCATGACAATCTCTACTCTTCAGTGAAACTGGGTGATCCCAGCATATTAAGGTAATATCCTTCATCATTCATCTTCTTCACCATTCTTACCTCTTTCCCAATTTGAACACTTATTGATAACAACAATAGTCCTTGCATTTGTTATAGTGCCTTATCATATCGTTGAAACGTCTCAAAGAGCTTCACAAGATATACTGTACTTCCACCTTTTCTTTACAACCCTGGAGAAAACTATCTCCTGGCTCCTTCAACAATGGCCTTTCAAATTCCAAACTCCTCTCTCTGAATTGTGTTGCCTTCTCTTTCAATACTCTCATCACTCAGTGTCTGATTCCATCAACTCTTTGACTGCTCACTCGGCCTAAACCAGATGGTTTATAACTTTTGCCTTATCCTTAACCCTAAGCTGAGTTTCAAACTCAACATCCAATTTACTGTCAAGTCCAGCTACTTCCAGCTACAGAACATTGTTCCCTTACTTTACCCTTCACTGCTACTGAAACCTTTATCCATGCCTTTTTCACCATGAGGATAAGAGTTTACAATGCTCTCCTTGTCAAATTTCCCAGCAATACTCTCCAGAAGCTTCCAAACTGCATCCTGAGTTCTCTCCAATACGAGATTCCACCTATCAAGCCTTTATATTTATATAGCGCCTTTCATATTGGGAGGACATTCCAAAGCCCTTGACACTGGGACCCTGAGCTGGGTGTGAGCATAGAGGGAATGGAGATTGGTGACCGAAAGCAGTCAACAGGGTAAATCTTGAGACAGTGTAGTGAGAGATGGCTGGAAGCTCGCTCATCAATGGTGGGGCAGCAAGGGTGAGTGATGTGAAGCTGGTTGGTGCTCACTGAGCAAAGGGAACAGCCGGGTCAAGCCAGCGCTTTAGGATGCCCTTGTGATGTGAAATAATTATTATTATAAACTGTAATGAAAAGCATTGACTTGCACTGAATTGCTGTGAGGAGGCCTTTTTCCTTCACCAGATTGCTCTTCTGCTACTCATGGCACTGAAACCACTCCCAATAGCTAAACACTCAGCAGTACCATGTTTGTGACAGTTGCGCAGGACCTTTTGAGAGTTCTTTTCTGATTACCATTTCCTGAATAATAGTACAGAAATGGGGAAATAGATGCTGGATACAAACTCATCCAATATTCAAGTGTATCTCCCAGTCTCTGCTACAATTATTTCACCAGTGGTCGACCATGAAAAAGCTGTTCCAAGGTCCCGCGTAGGTGTAATGCACATGACATTATTGCATCACTTACATAATATTATCATAAGCTCTTTGTATGCACTGAACGAAGAGGGGAATTGATGGGATTTGCAAATGTAAAGCAGTGGCTGCACTGCAAGTATAGCTGAGTGTCAATGCCATAACCTGAACAGTGCAGCCATTGCAATATGTAACATCAGCATTAAACACGGGCAAATGAATTAGCTTGCAGCACTATTCCCTGAATTATCTGAACCTTATCAATGAAAATCGTACAATGGCTGGCAAATAGCTTACAGGCTGCTTGCTGTTTTCCATCTGTACTATCTTGACAAATGATTATTGGTAGCAGACAATTTGAGGCAACACAATTACCGTTCATCTCCTTTGTCAGGAAGCAGCTGACAAATGCAAACATTCATGACACATTATTGTGAAACCTATTGAAAAGATTGAGCATAACACTTGCATGTCTTGTGATACTGACACACAAATCCACGGTTAAACTTTCTGAATTAATTGATTTAAAGTGCACTGTATTTGTATTAGGATGGCTAAATGTTAATTTTACATGCTGCTGAATGTTATAGTCTCACAAGTATTAAACTAAAGAAGATAATTCTTCAACCCTCAGTAAATGTGCTGACCTTGGCTGGTCCGCTTATAATAGGATTTATATTCAGAGATTTCACAGAAGTTGTCTGGTATTCAATGATCACACAAATCACTGAGGATCATGAGGAGACCTGGGGTTAAATACTCATTTATCATTTAAATACTCAGTCTGTGTCAGCTTGACTTAGATGGTAGCACTCTTGCATCTGAGTCGGAAAGTTTTGGGTTCAAGCCCCATATTGAGACTTTGAAATCATAAGCTAAGCTGCTACTTCAGTGCAATGTCAAAGGTGCTGTCCTTTGGATGAGACATCAAACCAAGGTCCCATCTGCCTGTTCACATAGACATTAAGCTCCCTTCACATCTCTTTTGATGCCACAGTTTTCCCCTAACATTTTGTTATTAACAAATGTAACTTTCTTGCACTGAACGTAATTGCATGTACCAATTTTCTTTTACTGTCAACAGATTTGTTTGTTTGGGGGCAGACCTATGTTAAAATGGATAGAGTTGCAGTTTAGGGGCCTGGGGCCCCTGGGGTTCGCTTGTTCAAATCCACACTGAGTTTGTTATAATAGTAATCCTTGCATTTGATATAGTGCCTTATCACATCTTCAAGACGTCTCAAAGCACTTCACAGAATATGCTGTAAAGTGAATTGACTGTACATTTCCTGGGCGAAATGCAGCAGCCAATTGCGTACATCAGTGTCCCAGTGTTTATTTTGTTGAAGGGATTATTATCCCCGGAAAAGCGATCTGCTAATTGACTAACAACCGAGTTCCTATTTACTGTTAGGTAAACAGATGCTTGTGGAGTACGGAAACTTGCACAATGTTTCGCCCTGCCCAGGAATCAAACTCAGGTTCTTTCGCTTGCGAGATGAGCGCTCTAACCACTGAGCTACAGGGCTCAGCCAAAGCTAAATGGGGAGGATGAATTGGTTAGGGGGAAAGACAGCTAGGATTCCTGCTCTTTGTCCCTCTACAGCATTTGTGTCAGGCAGGTGGGGAGAGATCATGCAACACCGTCTACAGTCGAGTGGCCTGCTGACAAATGAACAATGGCTAGTTGGGTGCATGTGGATTC